CAGAGAGGGAAGCATCCACTGGCCATGGATGTGTACCTGCTTTCAAACGGTTGAACAAGCTGTCCAATTGACCTTGTTTGTTTTCATGGTTCTTCATGATACTCCCCACAAACCTTCCCACCGCGTTCTTGCAGCTGAGCCGCGCGTTTTCGTGAGCTTTTCGTTTTGCAGTTTGAGAGAAAAACACTTGTTAAAACACCTTCAACTCTTCGGACTTTTCACCTTACTGTTCTTCACCTTCCTTCCGTGGCAATTGAGTTAACTGAAAACCAATGTCAGAGTGTGTGTGTGTGTGTGTGTGTTTGTGTTCTTTTTTTTTTGGGGGGGGGACAAATATCAAATATCCACAAACACTTTTTTGTTTTCCCTTTTTGCAGGGGGATGCAAAAATCCCCAATCCAAAAACACAAAGGATACAGGATTGGTTCTTGCTAAATGGGTACAGTCAATGGTGCTATGGGCGCCCTCTCTTTGCAAAACACATATTACTTCAACAAACGAAGCCCTCTGCATGGGCTCGACAGGGAAAAACATGTTTTCTTATGTTTTCGACACAGGATTGTAGTATTTTGTAGCCAAGCTTGTCACTTTGTCTGCGTCTTTTTTGCTAAAAAGGGCCTGTAGGACGACCTGATCGAGTGCTTGACACGTCGGTCTGACCTCCAACCTCTAGACCCTTCGGGTCGCCAATCGAAGGCCCCCGACCTGGACATTTCGGCCAAGCCGCTGACGGAAGGGCATGGTCCAAATCGCTGCGAAGAAGTCGGCCAGCTGAGCCAAACGAAGAAGGTTCAGCACCTGTCCGCGGGTAAGAAATCGAATGATGCCTCTTTTAGTGAGTTCTGACTCTGAATAATGGGCCCTTCACCCACGATCTACCACCATCGAGTACATGCCTTCAAACTATAGGGAAATGTACACATGGCTCAGCCAAGGAACAGCCACTGCACCACGATCGTTCCGAGAAAGAATGGCCAGGACGTATCTCTTGGACAGGTCCTGATGGCAAAACCCTGACTGCCACATGCCAACAACTTCCTGACAGCAAAAGGCGTCCCTAGTCAGACCTGTGACCAATGACCCCAGGCGAGGTGTCTGACCCCAGGCGAGGTGCTTCAGGCTCTTTCAGGACACCTCCTCGTGCACAAACGATCTCCCTTTGGTCCTACCCAGCCGTGGAAAAAAAATCCTCAGCTGGGTCTCTGAGACCCCGCACCTCTAGCATGGCCTTCAAAGCCTGCAAACGGCTTCCCGAGCAGAAGGGAGACTCAAAGTTGTAGGTCAAGAGGTCTTCGGCCGTCCTTGTGGCATGCCAGCCAGTGAAGCAAGTCAACCGGGCATCTCTGCGAACTGGGCATTCCTTCTTCGCGGTTCAGTTGGGAATTGAGATGAAATGAGTGAACACTTGGTTCGTCAGACCCTGCGGAGAAACAAGTTTCACAAACATGTCTTGTTTGGATGGGAACCCATTAGATTGGGCATCCCCTTTTGGTTCAATTGTATGAGCCTTCAAGTTGCCATATCCTTTGCCAAACCTCTTGGGCGACAGTTTCCCTTGCATTGCCTTCTGTTGTGTTCCAAAAGGGGCTATATTATATATGCCTGAGGGGTTGTTGACTCCTCGCTTCGACTCTTGGCAAGCTCTTGCCATCAAGAGTCCGAAAAAAAAAGCCTGAGAAACTGCAAAACGAAAGCCAGCGCTTCCCCTTTTCGACAACTGCGCGTCGAAGCAATCTTGAATGTGACATATACCCTTCACTAGGAACTCGAACAGCTCAAATCCAGAAGATTCTGAAAATGGCCTGGCTCCCTATATGAACCCTGGGAAGACTGGGAAGCGAGGAGGTGGAAACTCCTTTGCTCTCGCTTCGCAGACCTTCATTTTCAAGGTGGCCTGAACCGAGTGTTTTAGGGCAGCAAACCCTGGTCTCAGGCCACCTCGAATTTAGCTTGAAAACCACAGCTTTGAAGCCTCATGCGCGCGATACCTGGGAACAGAATTGTAGCTACCCTGGGTCCGTATAAATACAGTGTTGCTATACCTCTTGCACACCTATACAAGTTCAAAGCACGAATGAGACTTCAAAGCTGTGGATTGCTGTGCGTGTGTAGAGGTTAT